GACTCCAGGTTAATTGTGTGATTGATTGTTTTTGAAATGTACATATCGCCAATGCTCGTATAAAATTACTGACTTAATCCGTGTTGGTAAATAATGGAATTGAAATAAGTCAAATACAAGAAAGGATTTTGAATACGTGTATTTCGTACAATCATTGATCTGGACAGACAATCAGGGGGATGAAGCAAAGAAGCGAAGAGAAAAGAGTGGATTGAAATGACGTGCAGTGGATAAGGCGTGTGCTCCAGCTCAATTTAATCAAGCGTTAATCAATATTTATAATCACACAAAAATAGGCAATAGACATGTGATGAGTAGGATAATATGTACACACACATAAAAACAGATTTGAAAAGTGAATAATTAACAAGGTCAAAACGGGACTCAAGAAGATAGGTAAATCGATCTGTTCAGAAGCTAAAATAAGCTATGTGGGCTTAACATAGTAACCGACACTACAATGTATAACTAAAATGACTGAATAAATTAATATTGGTTAAGTACTACATATGATCATAAAATCGCTAATATTTATTTTTATATGAATTGAATGAAGCTGCCAACCAGCATTCTCCAACCCGATCTGTCCTGGGCCTTCCTTTCTAGTTCTATCCAATTATTGTTCATTCTTTCTATGTCTGTATTTATAACTTATAAGCTTTATGAATTATACTACCATTCTTACTACTGACAATGGTACTCATGAATTTAGTTTTTCTGTAAATGAATTAATATTTATTCTTCTGTATTATTCTGTTGACAAGTTTTATCACTATGATAAGAATATTTGTATTATATCTTCGATAGTGGTTATTAATGGAAAGAAGGACGAATATTTTGTCTAAATTGGAACTCACTGTGTATAATTACATTCTACTGTTGGTGGAACCAATACAACTTAAACTCAGTAATTATAATTTAAAAAGTTACAGTGTTTTTACTTATGCTATTTAATCATTATTATGGTCACTAATATATAACGAGTCTGGTATATGTATTATTAATCATAGGAACCTTGATAATAGTTTACAGGGCTTTATCAAGTTTCTAACAACGAATAGCGTGTATCCTGAATCTATTATTATCCATTGTCTGAAAAATCTAATCGATTTGCAAATGGTAGCAATATTGATGCATCTGTTCAAGGAAACTCATAGCGTTAACAGAAACTACTCAACTCAATCTTGAATATCAATGGCTGGAAAATGAAAATTTCTGAAATGAAAGAATATGAATTAAACAATTCAATCGACAAACCATGACATAATTATTCATTGAGTAATGCTACTAATAATTCCTGGTAGTTATTTGGTCATAAAACTTAATATGTCATACTCAAAGCTAAACTGACAGAAAATATATGGTGGTTTGTAGGGTAAATGATGTAGCGAATACATTGAGAAGTAGTTTAATATAAATATTTATTCATTCGTTTCAATGAAACACCTTGATCATCAGCATCTATATGGATTCTATTTCTAGAAGACGACAAATAACTAGATAAATGAGATAAGTAGAGTTAGTCTAAGAAAAAAAACTAGAATATTATTCAGTATACAAAAACAAATCCAGTTGAATAAACTTTCATTAGATAATCTATCGTTTATAACTTAAAAACTTATCAGTCCTGGAATTTTTCTTTCCAATATAACCATTTATATTTTCTATAATTGATAGATTCAATCATTTAGCAATTACTTTATATTTCTATTGTTTAAACTCATTATTAAACATTATTGACAACTATTATCAAGCATTTTATTTAACATACTTTTTTTTAAAAAAAAAAACCAAAGAAAAACAAAACAGATACAACTTACAGTGTAAACATTGTAAAGTATGTATTTTTGTTATGTTTGATTAAATTCATATAATTATTGACATTAAACTAACATCTTTCTTTTTCTTTATGCCAACACATGATACTTATTTATAACCAAAACTGTTAGTTTCAAATTCCAATCCATTTATGATTGCAAGTTATTTAGTATGATTATTATTATTATTATCATTAGTAATAGTAGAAGTAGTCGTCGTAGTAACAGTAGTAGTGGTGGTGTTTTCACTGACGATAATTCTAAAATTCTTTTTGTTTTGTTTATTAATTATTTTAAATCAATTTTTTTCTGTGTTTTATTATTATTTTTATCAAAACAAAATATCTTCTCTATGGATCAATAAAAAAAACTAGCACATTTTGTTAAATTAATGTAAATTTTAAGAAAACATTTCTTTGAATAGTTTTATGACATACTTAATTGAATATCTGACAATGTAGTGTGTGCTGTTGATGTTGATAGATATAAGTAGTATATATCATCAATTGGAAGAGAAATAACTAAAAGTAAAAAGGTTAAAAAGATCGAAGAAAAGTGAACGAATACAGAGAACGATTACTATGGAAATCAAGGAACAGTTAAGGTTGAGACAATTGATTGACACTTTTCAAATAAATCATTTACTGTATGGTTCTCAGATTTTATTAAGATGTTCTGTAATTTTGTGTTCAAATATATTCGATTATCCTTACTTCTGTTCTCGTTCACTACAAATGTATTTATTAGAAATCGACATTAAATATTGACCGAAATAATCTATCTGTTATGTAATTAGCTATTTGTTTGGTTCATTTCCAGAGTTAATTACATTTCTGAAAAGTGTTAATTACCAGTATCTGCAAAATTATTACGTACGGTATGTTGAAGAGTGAGAGAGCGAGAGAGAGATGACAAAAACAGGACTCACATTAAAAGAATCATATATGACCTTAAGACTTATAACATATGTATGATGTGTAATTACACTAATCAGTTATTAAGTTTTCATTGACAACATATCTAGTCATCTGTGATAAACTGACATTTTGTCAATTATATTCTAGAACGTAATCTTTAAACCAAATTTAATAATTAAAAGTAATTAAAGAGCCAGTAGAGAGCATACACTGGTTTATTATAATCTATTCGTGATTGTCATATGTATAGTGGAGATTTGACTTTTTTTAGTGATATCAATTTATTTTAGATAAAAAACAAGTTGGTCCTAATTTTCCGATCTATTTCATCTCTCTCTATGTTACATTCGATGAAGTTTTCATGTGTTTTGGAAGATATTCAGTTGTAAAAATCATATTCGAAGAAAATAATGCTTATCAAAATTGCTGACAAGATTTTAATTCATTTTATGTAAATTTGATCTTTATCATCTCATCACTGATATATAATACGATTGGAGATTTTTTGGTTTATTTAGTAGTTTTCAGTTTTGCATGATAAGTCTCATTATGAGATGAAAATTCTGAATAATGAGAAAACTAATTACAATTTGTTAAGCGGAAAGATGCTTCTTCACGAACGAATGACATCTGTATCAAATTTATTGAATTTAGTAACTCAATAGAAGTTCAATCACTTGATTTCATATATTATTTAAAGATTTTGTTTGGTTGTCGAAGCCTAAGTACATAGAGCGATGTTATAACTGTGTTATTGTTTAACTCTTACATCATTTAAATTATAAGACGTAATCGTTAACTAAACCAATAATTTGATAACTTCTAATTTGAATTGAACTTCAATCTCGGTTTTTCTTTCATCACCAATGGTAATCTTCATACATAAAATTTAGTTTATCAATAGTTCTATCATATTTAATTGAAATTTAGTTTTGTCATGAAAGCCAAATTGACCAAAGTACATGAAGCAGTGCAAACATTTGCATATTTATCATTATTATGATAGATTTAGTATAGAAACTTGATAAATAAAAATGAATTTTAAATCATCTGAACTTATACGTCAATTCATAGAATATCAGACCGTTGGTGATTGGATGGATATTAACTTTATTTTAATTTTCCTAGTCTTCTCATTAATTCATTTTTTAATCAAAAATATTTTCAGTATTACGATTAAGAGAAAGCTATATAACTATTTTAGTTTGTATTTGAAAATCTGAATAATTTATTTATTTCAAAAGACCACCATTGAGAATCTAAAAGTACTGGATGTCCGTTTTATCCTAGTATGAAACTCCACAACAGTGCTCATTCACAATCTCACATAGGCGACTCGATCCCAGGATTTTCGGTCTCACACATGAACGTTTAACTTCTAGATCACTGAGCCGACATCCAACGATTTTAATATATAATTTGAATCAGTCCATGATTTGCGCAACATTTCATTGATTGCTTGAGGCGTATATCTGTTTCTACCCGACACATATTGGACTCTTGTTATAGTCTTTAAATTTGATTTATAGTTAAGATTGAAATTATCCAACTATATTCAGGTTGAATTTACACAAAATAGTGTTGTTTTTTACATACATATTTTTTTGGCGTAGAGTAATTTACTTTAAAGGTTACTAAAAAATGTTTTATTATTTAGTTGATTTCATCCAGTAAATAAAATATCCTAAAACTTTTATCCCATTATATATTTATAATAATCAAACACGTCTCTGAGTAGTATAAGCAGTATGTTAAAAATTTTCATATGATATGTAGTACATTGAATGTACCTACTATAAATAAAATTAAGTTTTGATTGTAAAGTGATATCATCAAATTTTATTGAAAATTCCAAATATTCATTTTCCTATTCATAATTTAATATTACAAAATTAACTTTACAATAAAAGTTTCTTGAGCCTGGAAGCACTGGATGGCCGTTTTGTCCTAGTATGGGACTCTTCAGCAGTGCGCAATCCTGAGAATAAAAGTCTTAATTACAATAATTGATGATCGAAAGTGTTTTTTGTTCAATTTTATTAGTTTAAGTACATAACTACTAAGAAAACTAAATATAGAAAGTAAAACTTATATTTTACAGGAGTGATCAGCTAATATCTATATTTACTGGTATTTATCTTCACATTCTGTTGAGGATTCTCATAATAATATTACGTAATGCACAAAGTAAAAATATTATATATATATATATATATATATATATATATATATATATCGGTTTATATACTTTTTATCATTTATTTAGACTTTTAATAAAAAATCCTCATTATATGAAAATGTATAAACCACTTCAATCAGTCACTTTGCCTCAAGCATTGAATTTAGATTATCTTACTAAAATGGCTATATGTTATGTGGATAATATCATGAAAATTGTGAGGAATTTTAATGAAGAAGAGAAATTACAAGAGACGGTAAAATATTTAGCTGCAATACACACAAATCGTGGATTAACAGTAGCTCATTTTGTGGTATGTTTATTTTTATATTATTAAATGTTTGCATATATATAATGTTAATTATAAGCAAAGATGGCTAGTGGCTAACAGCGGAATCCAGGACGTGCGTTTCTTCCTATTTACAATGTGAATTTGTTTAAAGGCTAGAAGTGCGCAGTCTTTTAAATATGAAGTTATTAGTTTGATCGGTGCTTAACGCTTTGGTTCGCTACACTAAATGACGTTTTTTTTATCACTTATTGACCCTAGTGATTGAAATATGCTTCAAAAAACGGTTAATTTTGATGAAGAAACTAACATTTGTCCGATGAATGATTGGATAAATTTTTGTGACCGTCACAGTGATAAAATAGACATTCTTGAAAAAATATGTACTTCACGGGGGATTAATTATAATAAAATCCGAATTATTAAATCAGTTTTATCTTCCTCTAGTTTAGTTTGCTGACATTAATCATGATGTTTAGAGATCAGTTTTATTTTAAAAAATATTTATTATCTCATTACATATATATATGCTGCACTAGGTATTGCAAAACTGAAAGTTCAATACGTTTATGCATTCTTTCATTGTATGACAGCTAAAGTGATAAAGTATGACTTAACAGGTTGACTTATAGTTGATGGAATAACATTGAGCTAGTTACTTGGAAAATTCTATTTTATTGAAAACTATATTCCTAACTACTATAAAACATTCGTAACTGTCAAAATAAAATAATCAAATAGTTTATTCATTACAATTTCTTAAATTGTTGTTGTTTTGCAAAAAAAATGATGTAATTTATTTAATGTATATTGGAAAATTGATATTTCTGTAATTAATCAAATCGTCAACACGTTTCGATAACGATTACGTAAATTGAGCCAAACTATTAGATAATCATTAATGATACTTTATTAATGAATATGATATTTCACAGATTGAAATCATGAGTCAATTGAAGTTAGACCACCATGGAAAACCTGTAAGCACTGGATGGCTCACTAGTGACTGACTTCAAGAGATACTCCTGGAGTTCTAGTGGGAAACCGTTACCAGTGGAGTTCAACCTGGTCTGTTGCGAGATATCAGCTCACTAAAGACAATGGTGTACAGTGGCGCAACTTCGTGGATTGGTTGAAGTTAGACATTAACACCGTTGGATGCCGGCTCAGTGGTCTAGTTGGTTAGGTGCCTGGCGCGAGACTGATAGGTCCTGGGTTCGAATCCTGCGTGGTGCGGGATCGTGGATGCGCGCTGCTGAGGAGTCCCATACTAAGACGAAACGGCGGTCCAGTGCTCCCAAGTTTTCCATGGTAATCTAGCTTCAACTGACTCATGATTTCAATCTGCGAAATTTCTAAAATCTTCACAAACCCCTTCTGAGAATATGATATTTCATGTACACTGTTTACTACTATGTGCATGTATATACAGATATCTATCAAGTTATGCAATTTATGATACATTAAACAATTCAACACTATTAATATGAATAATCCTCTAAGTTAATTGGCTTATTTTATGATTATAATTTATGATTTTACATCAAATATTTTCACGTTTTCATACAAATTATTTTATTTTCTCTTTCATTAATTAAAAAATAATTAATCGAATGGTCAACTACAAAATACGATTACTACTACTACTACTATGATAACGACTACTGGGTGTTTCATTGCATGAATTCAATTTAGTCCATTCTACCTATATTCACTGATACAATTGTATCATATATGGAGATTGATGATAATAAAGAGAGTATGCAATTTATATTGTCAACTGTATTTCCAATGATTGGGAAACGCCTTTAATTTCGATTAACACTTTCCATTGAAGAAAAACGTGTAATAATAATCATAAATAAATAAAGATAATTATCTACACTTTCACTTTTCTTTCTTTTATTCAATTAAAAATGTTGTTGATAGAATAGATTATCAACGTTTAACTACAGTTTCAATTAAATTTCAGTCAAATATCATAGCTTTCAGAGGAGATATATTAGTTTCAATGAAAGTAACACGTTCTAGAACGTGTTATTGATTTTAAACTCTTTATCTATTTTATGTAATGTAAACCACGAATATATAATCTTGAATGATATGGTTGACTAGGCTGTGCCAAGGTTCACTTTATGTGTTCAGTTCTTGAAAGAAAAATAAATCGCCCATCGACATTGTATGAATTACTTTAAAAAAATCTGTCGAAAATAAATGTCAGCTATTATTTTAGAAATAATCACTCCATTTAACATTATATTTAGCCTGGTAACACTTATTATACATGGAAATAGGGTAATAAGTTCTCTAAAAATAATTTCTAATTAATATTAGCGGAAATATCGAGAGAACGAAATGTGAGTGTTCACATTCCTTTATCATAGAAACTTACACTATTATCCCATGTTTAATTTTGTCCTGTTACTTGGCATTTGTCAGTAAGGTGTACCTGTGATCTTAAGGGAACTGATGCTCCCTGACAGATTCGATCCTGTGTCATCCAGCTTCACAGTTAGAGACGTTGCCATTTGGCTATCCGGGCCTCGATTTACCTTCTGTAGGATTGAGATGTATTTACAATTGATGGATATCGAGTCACCTAGATTGGTGGGTCATCGCAACTAGGGCAATAGGGTTCGATCTGCACTCAGAAGGACTTGACAAATATGATAATGATCACCGCCTAGTGATTTATCAATTAATCATTTGTCTTCGCCTATACGATAATTAGGAAAACAAAATTAACCTGATACGACCAGTTCAATTTCAAATTAATTGAAAAATAATGTGATAAAAATTTAAACATTATTATTCACTGGGTGAAATCAGTGTATTATGGAAAAGTTTCTCGTCACAGTATATGAATGGTCTAGGAAAAGTATAAGTGCTCATTACTCTTGAAAATGTCAAGCGGGAAAATCTCATTTACATAAAATTTAAGCTACTGTACAACAATCATTTCATGTTTTTAGAACAGTTTGTTTACAGCTATCGTCAGATTAACATATGTTTGGTAACTAGGCTTAGTTGTCTTAGGATAGTTTAGAGGAAACACTAAATCTAAGAGTCCGATTGTTAAGGTCATTGTAAATAACTCCAAAGTCATTGGACTGTGTTCATATTGCATATCTAACCAGTGTTTATTAAATTTATTCCTGGCATAAATGTATATACATTGATCAGTCAATACTCTGCGATAATTAATTTCAAATATCTAAGTCTTATTAGAGGTCACTCTGCTCCCAAACACATCAAAGGTGGCATCCCAGAGAGTAAAGCTGGATAACGTAAGCTAAAAGATCACAATTAAGACCAGCTGTCTCAAAACAACCTATATCTATTTGAAGTGTCAAAATCAGCGTGAAATCCAAGTCAAAGGTTTCTTACCTACTCCTCAAAACCTTGTATAATAATATTACTGCGTTTTTCTGAACACGTGTTTGAATGGAGCACTACCTGATACAAACGGGTAACTTCAATTTCCAAGAACTAATAGTCGGAAAAATGATTAATTAGAAATGATCACAGGAATCTGTGAATTCATGCACTACAGAACAGGATATAAAAAGTGGACATCATTTAGTCGATAACTTCTCGAATACCACTGAACATTTTTTTCAATTAACAATCAGTCATAAACACAGTTCATATCGACGAAACAACTCAACTCAAAATTATCCATTATGACACGAATCAACTCATTAGGAACTTAAAACATTTTCCTCAGGATCAAACAATAGATTTATTGCTTGAGTAGTAATAGATATTCCAATCCTAAATTCCGTAACTAAATGACCAAAAAGAAAAATTATGACGAATTACTGATGACATATCTTATTAGTAAGATACAATTAAAAACAATGTAGATGTTGCCTGGTCACTGTCTAGAAGTAAATCAATCATCCTATAACAACATTCAAAACAACAATTTAACAAATCAATAACATCCAGTAACATTTATGTTGGTAAACAAACAACTATTGTACATAACATTATGATCAAATGAAATATTATTGGTCAGTTAACGACCTACAACTAGATTGGTCTCACGATTATCTTCATGTTGATTGACTTACTGACCGGTTGAGTGATTGACTGATCTTTCATGCTTTGTATGTAAATCGATGATTTTTTATTCAAACAAATGAATATTGAGTTGGGGGAGAGTTGCTTCGAATTTCCATATTCAACTGAATATACACATGAAGTGTAATCAGAATGTGGGAATATTCATTGTTATTTTTGTGAATATCGATTTACTCGACTACACGTGATACAACGAAGTGTCAAGAGAGAAACATCCTTATAAATCCTAAAAACTTAGAATTTAAATTTCTCATCTCAAATCAGCGATAATTCGCCTAGTTTATGTTATGATAGACCAATCAATTGGTACACAACGATATTTGAACAATGGTAACTGAGTAATGATAAGAAGAGTGAAGATAAAACTTTCAACAGACTTTTCTGTTGTAGTTGTGGAAAAATTGGCACTTTCCATCTGTGGAAACTGTTTTGACTGATACGGCTTGGTGGACGAACGAAGCAATTATTGCAAATGAGAATTTTACTGTCCACCAGAAATAAATCAAAAACTTTAAATACACAGTGGTTTATTTATCTGATCGATGACCGAATTCGGATAGATTGAACATAGCTATACCTGACACTAATTAGTCAATAAGCTTATGTATTTATACAATTTACAATGTCAATATAAGTTTGACTGTTCTAGCTAATAAACCTAGCCAAATCTCTGAAATACATATTTGCCTCTACTTGACAGTTTTGTGCCTCAAAAAAACTGTAGAGTGAGTAAACATATTAGTATATACATGATATTTTATAAGACGAATAGACCAACATAAGTAGGTGTCAATTGGTTGTTAATACCATTTTACAAATGTTACAAAACTAACTGTTGATGCAACGCCAACTCATACTAATAATGATGATGATTAATTTCAGAATTGTTAAAAAATATTTCTTTAAGAACAGCTAGTTCAAGTGAGTACTTAGAAAATTTCGATTTATTTAAAGTCATCAAGAACTTCGAACTCTGTTTCCTTTAAATACGCATCGACTATAAACTAGTGAAATATCTGTCTAGTGTTTCAAAATTATAGTTGGGTCTTACCTACATTGTTTCAACATGTAGTATTTCTCATTGATTTGAGAATATAACATAGTTCATAGCTCAACTATGAGAGGTTAATGAATTTTGAAAAATAAATTTTCAAATTTTTACATAAATTAGTTACCAATAGGAATGCAGATCAAATGATAGTTGATGGATAAATGTGTTAATCTCTATTGATAAATACTAACAAGTACTATGGAATTTTTCAATAAAACCACTTTTCATTATTGACGATTATTTTTAAGTACTATAGAATACAAGTCTAGTTCGTCTGAATTTATCAACGGACACAACTGTTATATCCCGATAAGAATAATGAATGGTAACTTTTAGAATCCATTTATGAACCAATACTGTGAGTACATTTTTTATCGTATAATTGTTAAATAACCAAACTAGTCATGTTCATGTCCCTCTTATTACGAGCTTTATTTTGACCTATGAACTATTATTATACAATTTATCATTCTTAAATTATACCCTGTCTATTAATTACTACTTTACACATTCGACTAAATCATGTACAAATGTTATTTTCCATTTTATGGGCGATGTGGTCTGTCTGAACCCAGTATGTTTGAAATAAACAATTCATATCGCATAGGCTGAGATTGGTGTTCTGGACTTAACTGGCTGGGCTAGGCGAGAAGCAGGACCGATAAGGACTCTAGACTGCTCGTACTTGTTTTATGCCTCATTGGTCCGCTCTATAACTCACTGCTCTCTAATTGACGGTATCATTACGTTATACATTAACAGGGCACAAAGACCACAAGCTATAACAACAACCAATTAAAATTAGTTATTAACCAAATGGAAGAAATCTCCTGTATTTAATCGAACTAAAATAAATTACTCATACACTTTAGTAACATAAACCAATCAGAATGTTACTAGCAGATGAACTATGGTGGATGTTAAGTGTATTATTCAGCTCGAGAAATATGAATTCGTTATTTTTTGCGAGCATAAATTACCATATGCGAACCCCATAAACATAAAAAAACTATTATTATTATTATTCCTAATTGTTTAAACTCAGTACTATTATTTCTGCTTGTTCATCAATGACGCAACACCTCACAGAGCTATTTATACCCAGAGTTTTCATATTTAACTTTAAAAAATTAACGTTATTTAAATAGTTGGAATTCAACAGTAGGTAAATTTTGTACACTCTATTCAAATAAGAAAATATAAACTAAAGAATTTTTGAGCATGAATATCCTAAAATAGTACTGAACAGTGAATCTTCATCGACTGCGATTATTGGGCCACGTGTTACGTATGCCTGAACACCGATTGCCATGACGCACAATGCTGACTAGTGTTGGGAATAGTTAGAAGAAAATTAGAAGCGGCCAAACCAAAAAGTGGCATCAGTGCATGAAGTCATTAACTTCTAGTCTGAGCTATGTTGGTAGATTCACACTACTTGATTGGGGTCCGTGTGACTATTGTGACCAATGGTTGGAGACTCTTGGTGACATGGCTCAGAATCGATCACAATGGTGTCGGTGTATTCAGTCTTTGTCTTCCTTTAAACTATGAGATTAAAACCACTTCATATCTTTCTTTCTACGAGTTAATTACTTCTTCCTGTACCATGTCTTCATGTGCAATCTTACTTTTAGATATTACTACCACTGAAGTAACTACTTCTATGAATTCGGTGTTCATCTTCTTGTGCTGATGTGGTATGACAACTTGGACCGATGAACATATATGCCTGGTCCTACGTTGTAGCTG